GCATATGAAGCTATTGATGACAATTTTCGAGATGGCAATAACTCAGCACAAACAACTCATTTCATTACAGCTTGCAGACTATATACCACAACTTGCCAGATGTAAATCGTCGTATTGGGCCGTATCGATATGTACGGTTGATGGACAACGGCGATCTTGGGGCGATTCGAAAGTACCGTTCTGTTTACAGAGCGTTTCGAAAGCATTCACTTATACGATTGCACTCGAGGAGCTTGGTTCAGATGAGGTGAAGAAGCGATTTATACTCATTTTGTGTGCGTTCAAGGAAATTACTGCTTAAACATATTTGGGAGTGTGTAACTGCAGATAGTTGTTGATCAGATGATCAGATTGATCTGATGAAATTCGTATGATTTTTACTAATAATAAGAGAATGTAATTCTCTTGTTTGTTTTATGAGTGAACTGTGCACTTTGAGATTAGGATGTATCAAAGTAGAGAATCAATAATCTCAGGTGCATACGTATGTCGGACAGGAACCATCTGGGCGATTGTTCAATGAAATTTGTCTCGACCACAACCGTTAGTAATTACGGTTTATTTCAAACTCACATTTCCATTTCAAACAAACCTTTCATCAACTGATTTTTTAACATCACTCATCAAGGCACGATGTCTCGGTAATGAGCATTCCTTTTCAAACTGCCACAACTTCAGCCTTAACCATGAGTGAGTAGTCTCATCTTCGGAGTAAATCTAAACCGATCGGCTTACAATTAGCATCGCTTAAATTTCAGTCTAGTTGACTTCTTGAGCATACATACATATTCGAACTGAATTGCTATCGCTACACAACGAGCGACGTTCACTTCTTATTACTTACTTGCATACATTATCTAAAATGAACGCAAGTATGATGTGTATAGCAATGCAATAATTGCTGTCGCATAGTGACGAAATCATTCAGAACAACGTGCAATATGCTAACCATGAACGTGTGTGCACAGGAAGTACGCGGGCAATTATTATTTGTTGAGAATGGAGAATTTGGATGATTGAGGAAATGGATAGAATCCGATCAGAG